AATTGACATTAAGCTGTAGTGAAATGCTTCTTCTAATCATGTAGTTATTAAAAAATTTTAAAAATGATTAAAAAGTAATAATTCTTCAAAGCATAAAAATTTGCTCCTTAATAATTAGTAGATGTGAAAAACATTACCATTGACATCTACCTGACGACTTTATATCCATGCTCAGATGCCAAGGAGCTCAGAAAGTAACTGACTATGACTAGTAATAGTCATTTTTTTATTTTAGAAAGGTAACAGGGGTCAGGGGAGATGGCCCAGTGGTTAAGAGTGCTTGCTTCACAAGCAGGGGGCCCTGAGTTCAAATATCCAGCACCTATACAAAAAGTTAATATGGCAGCACATGCCTGTAACCCCAGCACTGATGGGTGGATACAGGCAGATCTCAAAAGAGTTTGCTGGTCTAAACAGCAAGCTTCTGGAACAGTGGAGATGAGGTAGAAGAAGATACTCTGGTCTCCACATGCATGGGCACTGATGTGCATATCCTTACACACATATGCACTTGTAACACACACACCTAACACACCACATAGAAGCACAAATACACACACAGCACACTACACAGACACACACACACATGCACACACACAGACACACAAACATAGTGAGGAAGGCAGCAGAATGCAACAAGAGGCAGAAAGGAGTGTGGTTATTTCTAGAAGGACAAAGAATAGAAGAAAGCTGAGGAACAAGATAGAACTTAGAAAAGATGAAGGGAATGACAGTTGGAGAGAAGTAGTGCCCAGCAGAGAAAGTCAAGGCCAGCAGAAAAGTGTGGATAGACCAGGAGGAGGCAGAAGGCTCAGAGGCAAATCAATGACTCCAATACCTTCCAAGCTTGTAGGAGTCATCACTGAGCAGGAATCCTGATGCAGCATTAGGGAGTATGAATGCAAATCTGAGCTAAATCATTAGTTATGATAGCAGAGAATGCCAGGGTTGATAAGCAAGAGTGACATCAGTATCTCCTTGGGCTCAGTCCTGAGAGATGATGAACAGGTTCGCAGCCTTTCTCTCTGATCCCTTCTGTGTAATCTGATTATTTAATGATGTGCATATTGGTCAGTTATGTGCTATTACACTTTGTAAAGCCAATGTCATGTGGGCAAGCCATTTGAAAGAATGAATTAAAGCCTTGCTTTAAACCCAGGCATCTTAGATACCAACTCCAAATGAGAGGATGGTTCTTTGAGGCCAAGGGTCTTTGTAGAATACTCAGAATTTCTTTCCAAGGGCTATGGTCTTTTCTTCATATTAGTAAAACTGATCTTTCCCTAGCCACCTCAAAGATCTTATGTGCACTTAAAATGTGATTTATGAAGTGTGGTAAACTACAGAGCACCTTCCTGGCCCTGCTGTGTTGAGAAAGCGTCATCTGTTTTCACATGTGCACATGTTTACTCATTTATACTAGCTTCTATTAAATCATTTATGTGTTCATTTACTTAGGTGTAAATGTATTTGACCCAATTTCACAAATATATGTGTATATATTTGTATTTCAGTTTCAGAACTGTTTGAGGAAATCCTTGAGATTTAGCAAAACACCACATCTATCATGGACTCAATGAATTTTTCTTATTGTTGACATTTTCTTTTTAAAAATGCTGCGTATCCTTATTTTAAATTTTGAAAAAGCAAAATCCTTTTAGAATGACTGTTTGTGTGAAATATAGATAATCATACTTAATCCAAATACCCCCCCTCCTTATTGAGGCAGGGTTTCCCTGTGGCCCCAGCTGGCCTCTGTAGACCAGGCTGGTCTCAAAATCAGAGATGGTCCTCCTGCATCTGCCTCCAGAGCACTGGGATTGAAGGTGTGTGCTACCATGCCTGGCCAAAAGAAACCCTATTTTTGTAATCTTTATTTTTGCGGCAATTATATGTAGACAAATGCAGTAACATTTCAATAAATTCAGAGGTTTTTTTTAAGTAACAGAAAGTTAAAAGGGTTGGATGGTAATTTAATAGAGACTGACTATAACCGATGAACATTTTCAAAGAGTTTATGAAAAAGAAAACTCTTCATTTAAATGCTCAACAACAGCACTTTAGAGCAAACTGATGTTCGAGGTTCTTTCACTCACGGGAAAAGGCCTGCAGCACTCCTTTCAAGACGGGTCCTTGCTTTTGTTCTCAACAGTTTTCTTCATTCCAAAGTAGACGTGGGGTCAACTGAGAAAAATGAACATTTAGTGCTGCTGATAGCCCTGTGGTCAACATTGCATATCATGAATATGGTTAGGGGCTGGGGAAATGCCAGCATGACATTCCGTGAACTCAGTGTTACGAACATATAAGCCAGGAATGGCTGTGCTTGCCGGTGGGGAAGAATGAAGAAAAGTCTCTCCGTCACTGCCTGCACATGCTCAGGCTGCTAGGCGAAGCCGAGAGGCCTCTGGGCCACTCCTCACCACAGTCACCTCTTCCCTGGTCCCACAGTCCACACTCAGCCTCCCTCCATGCCCTGAGACAGCTCCTCCTGGCTCCTGGACTCTATTTTGTTTCCCTCTAGAGATGGAATCCATGATACTTCTGCCTATGTGAGAACAGTCCCTTGTATCTTGATAGAACAAACCAAACCAAAATTCCTTATTCTCATCAACCCCAAACCACAGTTTTCCCCAAGTCTCTGTTTATTCAAACTAATGAATGACTTTCTCCCTTCAAGTATTATATACCTGACTGAGGAAACTAAATATGACAAAGAGGAATGGAACATCTTTTTGCAACTCTGATAAATAACCACTGACAAACGACAGTCAGGTAACAATAGTATCATTATCATAATAAAATGCCCAACAGGAGGCTGGAGAGATGGCTCAGCAGTTATGAGCACTGGCTGATCTTGCAGAGGACCCAGGTTCAGTTCCCAGCACCCACATGGGGACTAACAACCATCCCTAACTCCTGTTTCAGTGGCTCTGAAGCCCTCTCCTGGCCTCTGTGAGCATTGCATACATGGGTGTACATACATACCTGTAGGCAAAACCTACACGTAAAATACACATAAACCTACACAAAACCTACACAAAAAATACACATAAAATAAAAACAAATGTTTAAAAGTCCATCAGACCTTGTCTCAGAATTTGAACTCTTACAATGGAAAAAATTAGAAACTTTTATATGATATATGCAGAAAAAAGTAGTGTGTGCGCACGTGTGTGTGTGTGTGTAGGAGTGTGTGTGCAACAGTAGTATGTGAGTGTATGTGTGTATAGGAGTGTGTGTAGGTGTGTGTATGAGTGTCTCTATGCATAGGAGTGTATGTGATTGTGCGTATATAGGAGTGTGTGTATGTAGGAGTATGATGGGAGTGTGTGCAATAGTGTGTTTCAGTGTGTGCATGCATGTGTGTGTGTGTGCTTGCAAGAGTGTGTGTCCTGACTTCTGGTTAGGTTATAAAATATATGAGAATAAAAGAGTCTGGGTCTCCTATTAATTTAGTTTTCACTTGACTGGTTATGATTTTAAGAGAGGGAAATTTATTCACAGACTTCACTCTCAGTTATAAATTGTCCTAAATAAACATGGTAATTGGAATTTTCTCCTATTTTTTTCCTTTTGCAACATTATCATCATACTTTGCCTGTCATAGTAAAGTAAGTCTAACCAGGCACAGCCATTAATTACTAGCTTCTAACTAGTAATCGTCACTTGTTTCAGACAAGATAAGCTAGACAGTGCTGCAAATTAAAAAAATAAACTTCAGCGGTGGAAAATAGCAGACATTTATTTCTTGCTATGTGTTCCTTAAAGGTCACTTGGGGATTCTGTTCCTACGCCGTCATCATCATCCTCACGCCAAGATTGAGAAGACAGACTCAACCAGATATGGAGGTAGAAGCAAACGAGCATGCAAAAATGTGCTGGTTCTCAAGGACTCTGTGGAGTAGCTCTGACTGCTTCCAACAGAGCAAGCCTGGTGGCCCAGCCTGAGTTTAATAGAAGTATCATTCTTCCCTCGAAAGGACAGGCCTATCACACAGTCTACCACCAGAATGATCGCCTCTAGATAAGGTTCCCCTCAGAAATTTTTTTTGGCACAATTCCCTCCACCTCAACATCCTTGAGCTTCATCCCACACCAGTGCTGTCCACAGTTCAGTCCTTGCTCCATCTCCTCTCCTTCTTGGACCTCCTGTCTCAGGCTCCCTGCCTCCCCTCTGGGTGTCAATTCATTTTGGCTTTTGATACCTTGATTTTCTTAGCTTCTTAGTATCTGATGCACTGGGCCTTCTTTGGAGTCTATCTTCCTAACTTTGCAGTTCAGCAGATGCAACTGTTTATTATTTGCTGACCTTCTCTAGATCTTTCCTTCTGGATAAAAGATGTACAGCTGTACATTTCTGAATGTACTCTCACAGCCTGGATCCAGCCATAGTAGATAAGTTATAAAATCCAATATCACACAGGAGACATACCATCTCAGGAAACATAGGGTGCTGGATAGCTTTAGAGTCAACTTGACAAACCTGGGTTGAGGGAGCCTCAATTGGGGAATTTCCTTCATTGGACTGGCCTGTGGCCATGTCCATGGGGAATCTTCTTGATTGTTGAGTGTTGCAGGAGGGTCCAGCCCACTGTGGGTAGTGCCACCCCTGGGCAGGTGGGCCTGTGTTGCATAAGAAAGCAGGCTGAGCAGGGGCCAGGGGAGAAAACCAGTAAGTAGCATTCCTCCATGGCCTGTGCTCTAGCTCCTGCCTCTAGGTTCCTGCCCTGAGTTCCTACCTTGGGCTCCCTGAGGAACTGTGACCCAGGATATGTAACATAAATAAACCCTTTCCTCCCCAAGTTGGTATTGGTCAGAATGTTTTGTCATAGCAACGGAGAAACAAACTAGGACACGTAGTATTATTATTCCAATCTTAAAACCACACAGAGGAGGTTTAGAGAGGTCAATTTATTTGTTTAGAAACACAATGATCACATTCAAAACATTTTTGCCCACTTCTCACTGTTCTTTAGGACTTAAGATAGTAAGCATAGCAGGATGCCAAAACAAGGTTTGATAGGGACCTCTGGAAGAACAATGCATTTGTTTCTTTGTGGGAAGAGAAGGTGTTTGTAAACACCACGAGACCACATCAGATGTGGAGTTTCAGAACTGTTCCTTTGGTCTGTGGAAACATCTTGCTCCAGTCAGAGAAAGCCATCCTGGGGGAGCTAAAACGTGAGTGGGTGGAGGGCAGGGAGCTGGGCCCTCACAATGAGGCCACCACTCCCCAGGCCTGGATCTTAGAGAAGAGTGGTCTTGTGCCTTTTCTTCTTTTTCATAATTCTGACCTGCTTGCAATCATTCAAGAATAACTTGTTAATTGGATTATTGCCACTTTTTAATTGTTTTGCTGGAGGTTTTTGTCTGATTGGACAGTGACTGAACTCTTTTTGTAACCACGATGTCCTTGGCCACCTCCTGTAGACACATGTAGAGTCAGATTTTAAAAAAGCAGCACTTTTAATAAGGTCTGAGTATTAATCTAGACTACTGGGGACTCTATGAGGCATGAACAGTGTTTATAATTTTCCCTTCTTCACTGTCCTCTAATAGTTTCCTGGGGGTGGAGAGAAAAAGAATCTCTACCCCCAAACCAAAAGAGAAACAAACAAAGTCCTACACAAAGTCAGAACAGGACTAACCCCCTCACGTTACTACAAGGGCCTCAGAAGTTTGAGGTTGATACCCATCTTGAAGTGGCCACCATATGACAAAATTACTAACCCACCAAGTAACAGCTGAGTCTCTTTGGTCCCTCACTGCTCACCCCTTTCAATATGACAGTTGAAATTTTCTCTTGAGTTAAAATGCTGCATGAGAGGAGTTTAAATCTTTCTTAACTGGGCATGGCACCAGATCAGTGGTTGCTGGAAAAATAAATTATCTGACTTTGAAGTCCACAGAAATTAATACAACTTGGTAGAAGAGAGTTTCCACAGTATTTTCAATCTTCATATTTTCCATTATAAAATCATTTCTTAGAACTGTACTCTAATTAGTGTGGAACCACACTCCCTCTCCATGATCTTGAACTGTAGGAGGCATTGATAAATAAGGCAATCAGTGTTTTGCTACTTGAAAGGTATGAGTCTCTTTATATCAAGGATATTTTGGAGTTTCCAGTTAAATTAAAATACATGCTAGTTACAGTTTGGAGGAAATCTTATACAGTTCTATACATAACTCATTCAGAGCAGTACAACTTACTAAGAGGATTAAGAATAACTTGGAACTTCTGGGTCTTTGGAACATACTGTATGGGAAGCAAAGTGTTGAGGAGCCTAGAAATTTGAATTTTCCCACTGGCCATGGGACAATGCCATCCTAAGAAAGTCAGCTCTTGAGTCCCTCTTTCCCCAACTGTTGACATAAGGAAACCCCAACTAGACCTAATTCTATGATTTCACATCTATCATATGCCCACAGGAAAACATCGCCCTTCTTTGCCCATGCCTGAATAAGCTCTCCAAAATACTCACCATTTCCATCAGAATAATGAGAGGGAATCCACACCCTCTGAAGAAGTGTGCCTTGTCAGTCTACAGTGTTTCAGTAGCACTTCAGGAGGAAAATTAGAAGCTGGTTTCTTGACTTCTCTTGGTAATATTACAGAAAATATTTTGCAGTTGGGTCTGTTTCATTCAAAGAGAAAAGGAAACGAGAGTAACTCTACATTATTATTTACATCGTCTTCACCCTCAGGCTGAGTCAGCTACCGTGATCTGAGGGGTAAAGGCTCTGTAGCCTGGTGAGGAGCAGAGGCATTTTCCTTCCGCTGGAGCTTCTGCTCAGCTCTAACATGGGCACGTCCCACTCTGAAAGGTAAAGGAGAGAACCATGACTATGGATGCAACCCTACACCAACTTCCAGTTCCATCTTTTAAATTGAAAAATATCAACTCTCCAGAAATATTTTCCACAATCCATGAATCAAAATAGCTCAGTGTTGCCTGTAAACCAATCATGAAGAATGACACTGTTATTCTAAAATATTTGAGCTTTCTTCTGATAAATGATAGGAAAGAAAAATGCAATCCTCTAAGCATGTTTTCATAAACACACATACACAGACTCTCTCTCTCTCTCTCTCTCTCTCTCTCTCTCTCTCTCTCTCCTTCTTTCTCTCTCTCTAATTCAAATCCACTGTGATTTGAGTAATTGATTCAGTTCAAACCCAGTGGCTGGTAATAGCACTGGCTATTTTCCTTCAAATGTTGCTGTTTCGAAAATGAAAACAATTCAGTGGGTTCCAAGCAGAAGCATACACTGTGATGATCTAAAGACTCATTTTAGGGAGTAATTATAAACCATGCAGCTTTTGCTAGAGCTTCTGGTGGAAACTTCCCTACCACCCTTTGCTAGATGAACTTTTGCCAGTAGCGTTTCACTGTACAATAACTGACTGAAGGCCTCTGTATTCCAGCATTCTTTAGCATTTTGGATTTTTTTTCACATTCAATGACAATATAATTTCTAGAGCATTCCTGTTGTCCGCACTTGTCATTTGTGATGGCTAGCTAGCCCACCGACTCCACTCTTAATGACCGACAGAAACCACTCACACACTGCAACCCATTCCTCAGTCAGCTTGGCCCTATCCCAGAAAGACCCTCCATGGAATGCAGTATCAGAAAAAGCTTAGTATAAATAATTCATATAAGAAACCTTGCTTTAAAATTAAGTGAATAGATTATGAACATGTAAAAGAATGAGATCTAATGGAAGGCCAGGAGTTCGTGATTACCATCAACATCAGACATAAAGCAAAAGAATCACACTTATTTTCTTTTCTTTCTGGCATCTCTGTCTGCATCCTTGCATATGTGAAATGAGGATGATAATAGTATTTACTGATCCCTCAGGGCTGTGGTAAGGATTCAGTTAAATTTCTGCAAAAGTCTTAGTTCCTGATACATAGAATTATATGCTGACTATAACCTTGAATGTTACTTTTTTCCTTTTGATTGCACCAATGACCGTAGCATCTCTTCCCAAGATAAATTATGATAGAATTCTGCATAAATTCAGTAATTCCTAGAGAATGTATCACTTTGATGTTTTTTATTGATAAACACTCACTGTATCGAGGATTGGGTTCAGCTCAGGCAAATTCTTCTAAGAATATCACATACTTTGAACATATTCACCCTCCCCCATTCCCTGCCATTTCTTCTTGTGCCCTTTGCCTGCTGCCGCCAGTCTCTTCCCTTCACCTGTCTCCCTTCTGTTTCCATGACATTCATTCATATACATATATATACATTCATATATAATATACATTCATATGAGAAGCACATACATACATACCTTAACATTTTATGTATTTATAGAAAAGTCTAGGACACAGGGCTGAAGAGATGGTTCAGCAGTTAAGAGCACTGGCTGCTCTTGCAGAGGACCTGGGTTTTGTTCCCAGCACCCATGTGGCAGCTAACAACCATCTGTAACTCCAGTTCCAGGGGATCCAACTCTGTCTTTTGACCTCCGTAGGCATTGCACGACATGGGTGCACACAAGCAGACAATATACTCATACACATAAATTAAAAAATTTTTAAAAAAGAACTCTAGGACATATAAATGAGAGAAAACGTGACTTTTTTCTTCCTGTATCTGACTTATTTTGCTTAGTATGATGATCTCCAGTTGTATCCATTTCGTAGAAAATGACATAATTCATTCTTCTTTTTGAGTGAATAAAATCCCATTGTGTGTATATACCATGTGTTCTGTATCCATTCATCTGTGGATAGA